GTTCACTATTGTCATTGTGTGACTCATTTTAGATGAAGGAACCATTGGGCTGCATACAGTTGTTCAAGAGGTTTTTTTGACAAGTTGGCTATCTAATCACATGTTGCAAAGGACGAGAAGATCCTCCTGGGCACGTCCAGCTGTCCTTTCAGCACAACTTTACCCTACTTTCGCCAGTTACCAGGGTGACGTTGTATATATGTCCTAGCCTCTCAAGGTCTCTATGGGGCAGGGACAAAATATTCTAAACTTTTGGTTCCAAGCTACCAGAATTTGAACATATTATATGCTCAGTTAAAACTGGTGGTGGCAATTAAGTGGTAAAGGGTAAGATTAACTCCAATAGTAGGTTGAGGGATTGTGGCTACTGTTCAACAATGAAATGAACCCTCAGAGGAAGGTGCCAGGAAAGATAAAGTTTTGGTGGTGAGATGAGGAAGGAAGGTGGGTAGAATACTTGGATGACAATCTGCTATCATGTGAAAGTTGTATAGGTACCTGTGTGGGCACACAGCATAAATTGTGTCTCTAAGCATTGCAATCTAGAGTTCCTTGCAAATAAAGATGAAACTCTTGACACTGTTGCCCTCATTTGGTGGCATGTTAGGGGAAGAGGAGGGGATGTGAACTTTCTTGTCCAGAGTGGGATTCGTATTGGTTGCGGGGTATGTGCAAACAAACTCTCAGACTTACTCAAAAAGAGGGAACAGGTCAGACTCTCCAGAGATTTTTGCAAGAGCCTGGTGATTGGCCAAGTTTATGCTCATGGCATCATGATACCAAAAAGTGAGATTTTTTTTTCTTTTTTTGAGATGGAGTCTCACTTCGTTGCTTAGGCTGGAGTGCAGTGGCCGCTCCTGGCCATTGCAGCCTCGACCTGCTGGGCTCCGGTGTTCCTTTTGCCTCAGCCTTCCAAGTAGCTGGAACTACAGGTGCGCACTACCTCACCCGGCTAATTTTTTGATTTATTGTAGAGATGAGGTCTTGCCAAGTTGCCCAGGCGGGTCTTGAACCCGTGGGCTCAGGCAATCCACTCACCTCAGCCTCCCAAGTGTGGGATTATAGGCTGAGCCACTGAGCCCAGCTCTAATTTTTTATTTATTGTAGAGAAGAGGTCCTGCCAAGTTGTCCGAGCTGATCTTGAACCCGTGGGCTCAGGCAACCCACTTGCCTCAACCTCTCAAAGTGCTGGGATTACAGGCTAAACCACCAAGATCGGCTGAAAGTGAGAATTTCTAGAGAGTGAAGAATTAGATATGTAAAGAAAATAAAGCACCGAGATAATCACCATTGGAAAATCAGAACTTTTTTTGGACTTCCTTACACTTACTCCATTCATGCTTTAGTATTATTTTATTTGGACTTACATATGGGAGGGGCACCTTTGTGCTTAGTGGATTCTAAAGTCTTAATTCAGTCATCACCACTGACCCAAAGGAGTGCTCTCTGGAGTCAAGAGTGCTGGCCAAGATAAGCTTAAAAGACACAGGTTCTCCAGGAGACACTTCTGGGATGTCATTGTCCAGATGGTCAGGAAGTAGAACCTGGAGAGATATGCTCGTCCAGAGAGATCTCTGTGGGTGGGCATGGTGAAGACTTTCTGGCTACTCAAGGCTTAGCAAGGGAGAGTATTGCTCACACCCACTCTCACAGGCAACAGTGCTGAGATGATGCCAGAATGATTCCTGTTACGGCAGGATCTGAGGACAGTGTTCCTTCCCCTTTTCTAAGAAGACTAGGTGAAGACCCGGAGGTGCAGATCATGCATGGCTGACCAGAACTCAACTCTGTGCACTGCGGTCAATTCAGTTCCACTGGTTGTGTTAAGTGATAGACTCTGCACTGAAATACTCCATAGGGCATTCAAACCAAACTAGGGTCTTAGTAGCCAAAAATCTGAGTTCAGGCTCCTGGAATATCTCGCTCCTTTGGATGAATGTTTTATGATTTCTATCAGAATTTTAGAAACTGTGATGATTGCATGTTTATTTCACTAGTGCTTGCTGGTAGCAGATATTTACATTGCCTGAGAAAAACAGCCCTTCATATTCTTATAAAGATTGGCTTAGTTGATATCACAGTATTCATGATCAGAGTTAATACAATGGGTGCTCAGCTTTACTCTTGAAATGGTCAATTACATGTTGTCAGTAGGAACATTTCATTTTCTGAAATCAAGATCTCTGGCTGTCTACAGTGCATATTAGGGTTCATGTCTAGGGTTATAATGTCCAAAAGTAACTTTATAAATGCCATTTTCATCAGTGATAGACCTCTACCACTTAATCATGTTGACTCGTCCTTCCCAATGAACGATTCTTTGTGTCTTAAAAGTATTTTGCCTTCCTTTCCCTAGGACTCTCTTTTATTTGAATTAGGTAGATGCATGAAACTTTCTTTTACCAAGGCAATGAGGCCAAGTAAAAGTTTGACTCCTTTTACATTTATTTAAGTTTTGTGGTATTGAACTTTGAGATTTGTTTCCTCCCATTTAGTTGTTATACTCATCCATGCAGTTGAAGGGTCACAAGTTTTTTTGCATGATTTATATTGTAGATACTGTTATCTACTTAGTTTCAGACACAGGATCAAATCCACCATTTATCTGTCCACAATACAACAACGATTTGTTACAGAATGTTTTCTTTCCCATCTAATTTCCAGGAAAGCACTCATGAAAGAATGTGATGTGTTTTTCAATAGAACTAAAATGATAAAGAACCTGACTACATGTAGCATTGGGAATGCTTCCTTAGAACACAAGGGAGTTTAACTTAGTGACACTAAAGAATGCCACCTAATATTGACTTATCTAAAAGTTCCATTGGCTGGACTTCTTCCAGCCAATATTTATGTAATTACCAATCTGTATCTGTGCTTCTGAAAGCAATAAACTGAAAGCAATAAACAATCTAACAACCCTTTACTTCTTTTCTGTGTCTCTCTGGGTTTTTATAAAAAAATATTTTGGTTTTCCAAAAGAAGCATTTAGTTATTTGTTAAGCTTCTAGCTGAGTGGCTAGAAATAGCCAGAACTTGTGCAATTAAACACTAGTAGCTCCAGGTTCATGTTCATTGCACTGATCAGATGTAAATCGTAGGCTAGAAAAACTAGCAAGAAAACAGCAAGAGACATGTTGGCAAGAGAGCACAAGAGAGAAACCATTTGCGGGAGGAGGGATTGGTTTGATGAGTAGCAACCACTGCAGGTTCAGTGCACACCGCTGAGTAGAGACTGGTGGGCTGAACTATCTACATAACCCAATGCCTACGGGTACCAGTGAAGCAGTCTTTCAGTCGCTGGGCTGGGAATTCTCATTTCCCTGTGTTTATTAATGAGTAGTTTTACTGTATCCACTTTCCAAGTTGACGACTGAATCCTGGCCGGCTTTCTACTCCATTTGCCATTCTGGGAGAATGGCTGTAAAAGGAAGGATTCTTTCTTTGAGGCCCTGACTGGGCTCTCAACATTCTGCAAGCAGCTGTCCCTCTGATAAAAAAATGTATTATGTTTCTGTTGAACAGACTTGTGAATGGAATGATTTCAATAGATTTATACTAGAAAAGAATGTCATTCTTCTATTTGTACTTAAGAGTACCATACAGTACTTAATAGGACTATTAGCAGTGCTTACAAATTAATAGTACTTAATGATACCAATAATACTTAACAGTACAGTATAGGGGTTAGCAAATTTTTCTTGTAAAGGGCCAGATACTAAATATTTTATTCTTTGCCTGTCCTCTGGTCTCTGTTGTAATTACTCAGCTCAGCTAGTGCAGAGTGAAAGGAGCCACAGGCAATACAGAAATAAATGAATGGGGCTATGTTTCAATAAAACTTTATTTATAGATACTGAAATTTGAATTTCATGTGATTTTGGCATCACAAAGTATTCTTCTTTTGTGTTCTTTCCCTCAGCCATTTAAAAATATAAAGATTGTTTTTAGCTTGTAAATGGTGCAATAACAGGCTGTGGGCCAGATTTTGTTAGTAGATTTGGTTTGCTGAGCTCTTCTGTAGTAAAAAGAGCCCACGGCTTAGAGCTTTGTGACCTGGATTTGAGACCAGGATCTAAGATTTACTGGCCTTGTAAACTTGGCCAGTTTACCTGTACCCTGGTTTTCTTTCTATAAAATGTAAATTATAATACTCAACCTCCCACGGTGAATTAGAATTAAGTAAGATAATTTGTGCAAGTGTTCTTAATGCTCCCAAATGCCTTACCACACGGGGTGAAATATTGTTTTGTTATTATTGTGCATTCTGTGCTTTGTTCAAATCTCTTAGTAGCCTCCCGGCAGAGTTTTGACTTCTAGATGACACTCTGCATCAAAACAGTCCAAGACATTAAAGGTAGGAATATCAGGAAGAGGTGTGCCTTACTCAGTTTTAAATTAAAAGTTAACATTTTCTTAAATATAGATTGGCCTTGAAGTTTAGAAACAAGATAATACTATTTACTGTATTATAATGTAATATTAATGAATCATCTAGTACGTGTACGTGACCTATATTTTTCAACTTTATAACCATCCATTGAAAGGAAATCATCCTAGAAGATAATGTTTATCATCTATGTAGGATATTTCATTTTCAATTACCTTCCTGACTCTGTTGAATCATACAAAGTATCACCCAAGTCAAGGAAAGAAAGACTGAAAAATAGTCAACCTATTGACAAGTTGCTTTGGAAATGACTTACCACAAATATTTTAATTGTATTATATCAGCTCATCAAATAATTTCACATTCTTTTGGTGAGTTCAGGTAGTTTTCTAACAGCATTCTTAGGCCTCTTTTCTCTGTCCACCAACTCCACCTTTGTAAAAAGTTTCGAAATATCCCAAAGATACTGGTTTAAATCTAAATAAAACAGCAAAGAGGAAAACAAGGAAAAACCCCTAAAATCTAAGAAAATATAGGGAGGAAAAGCGTAAGAATGTTTCTCTGGAGAATTCAACATTTAGGCTTTTAAATCAAGTCACAAATAATTTTTAAATTTGAGCGTAATGAAACATAGACATTTCAGAACCTTGGCTTGATTAAACCTGCAACAGAAAATTGTACTTAAGAAATAGGTCGGCATTTTAGAGACAGTAGCTGGATCTCTGCTCCGGAACATAAAATATTGAACTAAAACAATAGATTGGAACTGGAGAACTAGGGAGAAAGTAAAAGCAAGGAACAGATGGAGGAAGGGAATGAGGGAAGGGAGAGTTCTGTCTCATGGACATAGAGGGGCTATATGTTGGAACAATTAGACTGGAATGCCATGTTTGGAAGGAATGGAAAAGCACCGAGTTGATGGTGATTGCAAGTGTGTTAATGCAAAAGAGTTTAGTTTACCCAGGGGACGGCCAAACATAAACAATTTATTAGTTACATAAAGTTGATTTATAAATGAAGAGGTGCTCTTTCAGTTGGGGAGCACATTGGGGTGGATGCAAGTGAGAATCCAAGGAATTCAGCAGTCTTGGGGAAGGTCATGCTTCCAGCTGAAACTGACTCCTTCTAGGAACACTTTTTCTGTCAGTTTGGGGTCAACTGTGGCAAACTGTAACCCTTTAGTTCTAAGTTCTTATCTGGCTCATGGACTCCACCATGCTTTATGGAAAAGTGGCTCAAACACATCAAGCAAACAGACCAAAATACCAAGTTGGGAGTGATCTTCATTAGTTATGGATATTGTTGCATTAAAATTGACTTATTTATGGTCATAGCTCTTGATTTGCTAATGGAGAGATTGAGTGAATGAGGACTGGATATTGTGGAATAGAATGAGTAGAAACTGTGTGGTCAATTTTGCTGAACTGTCTTAAAGAAAAAAACCATTCACTACTTGCTTCTTAGAAATTTCAGTCTCAATGAACTTTCAGTTCCAAATTTTAACAGTTGACACAAAATACACTGTTAAACTATTATCAATAACTGTAGAAAAATAGACATGTTTGATAGGGACATTCTAATAAAAGATTCTTCAGGAGCATCCTCATTTAAAGATTCAGAGGCTCACATTACAAAAACAAGATTTGGTTCAAGTTCTGCCTCCAGCTACATTGACACCAATGACAGTGAGAAACAGGGAGAGACCTCACATCCTCACATCCAGTGCCCTGTCACAGACACAGCACTGACATATGCTCGTGGCTGCAGTGTTGTCAAGGCTCTTCATTCAGTTGTGCTAAAGAGCAGGCAAGAGGTGATCAGGTCCCGAGCTGTTCCTTCAACTAGACAACAGGGTGTGTGTTGTCCTTTAAACTTAGCGATGGATTTAAAAAGGTTCAGTGAGTCTTCAAGAGCTAAATAGGCAGACATTTTGCAGCCCCTACTCCATCTTGCTTTGTGTCACCTATGCACTCCCCTGCAACTCTGGTGATGCAGCAGGGTTAGCGACCCAAGCCAAGAATGCCCTTTGTAAGGCTGTAGCTAGGTCAGGCAGGGCACCTCCCCACAGCCTCGAGGGAAGTGTATTGAGTTCCTCCTCCTGGACCACCACCTCCTCCTTAGAGTGTATGGGAACAAATAAATGATTCAACAGATATTCAATGCAAAAAATGAAATGCTGCCAAACAGGAAAGGGCTATGGCCAACAGTTCTGTTTTTTGATTGTTTGTTTGTTTTAAAGTCAGTGCCAAGAGGCAGTTGTCCTGATGCAAGTTCTCTCAAGTGGGAGAAGAGAGACCCTGATGTTAAATTTAGAAGCCGCTTTCCTTATCCTGGGACACCATTTTTAGTATACAAGGTCTCCAAACTACAGCAAAGGCCTGTGCAATCTGGTCAGGGAAGGCGAGGAAAACAAAGAAGGACAGCTAGTTTGATCTCTTTGACCTCCATGGTGCAAAGCCTCAAACTGAGCACAGCTGTAGGAAGCTGAAAATAAACTTGGATTCAGTCAATGAATATTTATGATGGGCAACTGTGTTAAAGAACAAACAGTTTATAAATGTGAAATTAATGTGAAAGATCTGTTACAGTGCAAAATCTCCACCTGCCCCTGAAGTTTTGTCTCAAATAATTTATAATTTTTTTCATTTCGAAATTTAGATCTTCAGTACAAAAACCTCTTCCTTCTTTCCTTCCTTCCTTCCTGTAAATTAAAATGAATTAAGAGACAGTTTGGATTTGATTTCTAACTTATGGCACACTCTAGAGACATTTCTTAGAAAGTCAACAAGATTGGTGATCTAATCTTTCAATATTCAACTCTGGTCATTTTAAAATTAAAAATAAAAACCCCAGTGCAACAAATGCTGATGGATAAGTCCCCCGGGACAGTTAAGATATAATTCTCAGAATGTCACCCACTATATGCCTTTGTGAATTTCATGGCTTTAGACTCAAACCATCTTCTGCTAACTTATTATGTCTCATTTTGACAGTCTGTAGTTTCTCATGATTACAGAGCAGAACAGCTAAAAAAAAAAAATCAATGGTTTTGCAGAAGAAAATTTTCCTAAACTATTGTACCAAAAAGGGCAAGAGCTCATGAAAAAAGCAAAAACACACCCTTGGTGACATGCCAGAGAATGTCTCCTCCCTGGCATTCTCCCCGAGGCTTGTCAGTGAGGCTCTTGTTAACTTAAAAAGGAAAAAGATGTCCATTTTGTAAACATTTCACAGTATATCAACATATTGGTGGTGGTGGGTTTTGCCATCTACTGGGCCTCCCAATTTCCCCCAGACCTATGGCTTATTAGATTCAATGAAAGGATCCATGAGGGAACAGTGAGGTACCCCAACGGCTGCCAGTCTGAGACACAAACAAAGGCCATGCACTGAAGGGCCAGCCGTTGACAAGATCAAAGTAATCTGGAAAACACAGACATCAAAACAGAAATGCCTACTGTATGTTAAGAATCTTTTTTTTTTGCTTCTTATTTCTAAAGTTTTATATCTAAACCTACATTAATGATACATCTATATACATTATTTAGAAGTTCTGTTCTACTGTACTTTTGTACATGCTGGGTTGTATTACTAACTGTGAAAAGAAAATAATTACATAAGGCATATATATGTACAGTGGTTTGTCTTTAGCTCGCCTGGGTCCTGTAACTGCAATGCCCTCATGGGGGCAAGCACCTTGCCCTGCAATAGGTGAAATGAATTGGGACCTATAAAATTGAGGGCTATACTCTATGTCTCACTGAATGAATAAATAGGCACTGGAGACTTTACTCGTCATATCCCAGGTAAAAATTTCGACACACTCTTTTGAGTGATCTGGTGTCATACAACACATGCAGGTAAGTAGCTGAAATCTCCAGGAGCTGTATGTGTGGTATTTTGGGAGGAGACCAGGCTTGGGCTGCAAATGAGGGTACATTGCATCTTCACCAAATCCATGTCTACCTTGTCAATCTAAATAACTAAGAGAGGGCAGGTAGATATTTTACACCTTGAAGATTTGTTTTCTGGTAATGTCAAAATTAAATGTAAATAAATAAAGATCAAAGTAAGAAAGACAGAAAAGAAAGAGAATGAAAGACAAGGAAAGGTTGTGTCAGGAGGGAGAAGAGAAGGGGTTGCTCTATGAGGGCACTAAACTTTGGATTCATTCTCCAGGTTTGCCACATCACCATTCCTTTCTGTTTGCTCTTCGATGTTCTTTTCTTCCTCTTCAGTCTCCAGTTCTGCATGTTGGTTGAGTTTGCTGGATACAGACCAACTCAGGGGCAGCTCTGCCCTGCTGGCTAACTCGGCCAGCTCTTTGGCACTAAGGGATGGGGTGCTGGTCTCATAGGTCTCATGGAAGCTGTTGTAGTCGACTTCATAGAATCCATCCTCCAGTGTCAGGACAGGTGTGAACCGGTAACCCCACAGGATCTCACTGGTGATATAGGAGCTTCGAGCTTGGCATGTCATCCCTGCAGAGATGAGAATGGAGGCTTTAGTATATGTCAGTGTGGGCTTTCCAGAGCCAAGGCGACTCAGGAGTCAGGCAGGGCTACCTCATGCAGCTGTTCAGACTGACCTGTATACAGTGCCACAACCAATGAGGTGTCATCCATATTGTAGACACATATTAATGTATTATAGAGGTTCCAGGCTTCCCCGTGGAGTCCTGGGGAGCCATGACAGAGTCCTGGCTCACATCAAATACACTTGCCTGAATGGACATGCACACACACAGGAAAGCATGTGTGCAAATGCACACAGGTGCACACAAGTGTGTGTGGCTATGCCTTGTTTACTCTTTGCTCAAAAAGAACTCTGAAGTTATGATCTTGGCCTCCTGCTGCTTTTAGAGGCTTAATCTGAGTACTCATGGGATTTGAGCACTTTGACCACAGCCTTAGAATGAAATTTGACTTAATGGAACTACATTTAGGTTGCCTTTAAGCTGGAGGCTATGGATCAGTGCTACCATCCCATCTGTCATACCTGCTGGCCAGGACTGTGACCCAAAGTATACCCACCTGAGTTTGTACTTTCCCCAGGCCCAGTAGGCATAGCTGCCCAGATTGTGCTAATAATATACTGCTTTAAAGACTTTTCCTCTTCTTAAAGATGGGAAGCCTATTTTTAATTTGCACAAAAGTGCCAATGAGCTACTAGCAGCCATGGAATTAGGAGTAGCTTTCTTTTACATGTAAAATGGCAGAATAAGGGAAATTCTGCCTATCTTCTTAGAAAAGAAAACTAGGCAACAGGCTGGATATAATATATGAGAAATGACACGTGTATTTTTTCTTTGAGGCCAGAGAACTCTCTTATAAACATTTTAAGGAAATAAAAGCATTCATTCAGAAATTAATTCAGGGCTGACTTCTCCATGAGACAAGTAGGCACTGTGTCTAGGGCCCACACTACTTTTAGGAGCACGTTAAAATGTTTCAATTTCTTTTAAAATCAGGAAAAAACTTTTAGGTAGAATAAAATATTCATATATTTATCTTTATACCAACATAGTTGTAAAATATAATTAAAAATCTTTTTTTTAATGAAATGAGGGGCCCATAAAGGCAAGACTCCCAGGAACTCATGAAAGTCATACTGTGGTCCTGTGTACATTCATTCAGAAAAATAGCCAGCCAGCCAGTCAGTATGTCATCTGTCAGGACAGGCAATAATATATATTAGGTAGAGTGCAAGTGAAGTAGAAAGAAGAGGATGCATGTGGGTGTTTGCACAAGGGTTCAGAGCTACAAAATGTTACTGCAGTATTGCATTTGCTCTTTGTGTCTAGAAACTGGGGTACCGGAGATTTAAGTGATTGACTCAACAGCAGCTGTCAGAGCCTTAGCCAGCACCAGCCCTCACTCCAGCCCTGCACTCTTCCTCCTAATCTCAAAAACTAAAATGCTACCCTTCTTCAATGTTTCCTTGATTGATCCACAAAAGCCCCACTTTATGCCTCTAAAGTAAGTACTGTGGGGCTTCTGTGTATTGGAAAAAACAGATCAACACCAACTTGATTTTATTTCTCAAATGATGTTTTTTTTGAGTTACTTTCTTTATCTAGGTTTGAGAGTGGTGGGGGGAAGACAGAAAAAGAAAACTAACAGGGATATGTGGGCAGAGAATGAGGCACAAACAGGAAGTCAAAGGGAAAAGGTGATAAAATAACTTTATTTTCCCCACAAAGGAAGTACACGCTTATCATAAAATGACTAGAAAATAGAAGCGGCAGTAATAACAGTGGAGAAAACAACAAACTAACCAGAAAACAAAAAGAAAATCTGGGGAGAGATGTCCACAGGGGGCTTTGGAAAACTGACATATTTCCAAGACTCCAGAAGGCCACAGGTATGTGCAGAATTGTGCATGTGCCCAAGGAAGACATGAGAAGGTCCTGTGCTCTCACCTCTGGCTTATGCTGAAGCTTTGTGCAAGCCAGAAGTGAAAAGTAATGCAGAGTTATAAAGTGCCTAGTTGAATGTTGAAGTTGCATTCCACCCATGTACACAGAGCCCCCGACAAAGATCAGGAGATTTATTGATTACCAGCTTTTAAGGAAATCTTTTTCTAATCATTAGCTGTACACTAAGTTAACTGAGCAGAGACTTTACACAGAGTACAGACCTCACAGAATTAGCTCAGGAAAGTCACTAACAAAAAAACAGCAGCAATAACAAAAAACTCTGAGCAAGAGGGAGAATCTGATTTTCAGGGTTGCCTCATTATAGTGTTAAAAATGTCAGTTTTCAACAAAAATTTATGATCCATGCAAAGAAACAGGAAAGTGTGGTGCATACAAGAAGAAAAGCAATCAATAGAAACTGTCCTCGAGGAAGCCCAGATAGTGGACTTACTAGACAAAGACTTTAACTCAGCTATTTAAAATACAAGGGGTACCAAAAAAATGTAAACACATTTTAAGAGATGTTATCTATGTATTACTTTTCAAAGTTGAATTGATTTACAGTAACAATGTGTAGTATGACATTCACTCAACTGTGCTTCTGCCGTTTTCTTTGACTGCCTTGCCTGTCACATAGTGATGCCAGCATTTATTTGATTAATGCCATCTTCTGAGCAAATGTCATGCTTAAAATATGTATACATATTTTTGGCACCCCCTCTATGTTTAAATAACTAAAATAAATCATGTTTAGAGAACTGAAGGAAATTAGGAAAATGATGTTTCACCAAACAGAGAATATCAGTAAGAAAAAAAATTACATATAAAAACCAAATATAAATTCTGAAGTGAAAAGTACAATAAATGAAAGAAAAAAATCACAAAAATCACTAGAGGAACTTAGTATATTTCATCTAGCAGAAGAAAGAATCAGTGAGCTTGAAGACAGGTCAATTGAGATTAATGGGGAACAGAAATAAAGAATAATGGAGAAAAATGAACAAAGCCTAAAAGACCTGTGAAACATCATCAAGCATACCAACACATGTATAATAGGATTCACAGAGGAGAGTATAAAGAGAAAGGAGAAAAGGGAGTATTTAAAGACATAATGACAGAAAATTCTTAAATTTAATGGAAACCATTAATTTACACGTCCACAAATCTTAACAAACTCCAAGTAAGATTAACTTAAAGAGATTTACACTTAGAGACATATATCAAGCTGTTAAAATATAATGACAAAGAGAGAATTTTGAAGGCAGTAAGAGATAAGCAATTCATTATATACAAGTGATCCTCAGTAAGATTAATAGCTTATTGCTCATCAGAAACTATGGAAGCCAGAAGGCAGTGAAAAGATCATTTTCAAAGCACTGAAAGAAAATTACTCTTGACCAAGAATTTTATATCTAGCAAAACTATCCTTCACAGCTGAAGGAGAAATGAAGACATTCTATGAACAAAAACAGAGAGACCTTGTTTCTGACAGACCTGCACTACAAGAAACATGAAAGGGAATGCTTCAAACTGAAATGAAAAGATATTAGACAGTAACTCACTTCCACATGAAGAAATAAAGAATATTGGTAAAGGTAACTACGTGGTTAAATATAACTGTTTTTCTCCAGTAGAATTTTATGATTATTCAATTTTTATGGCAATTATACAATTTCATTATATGAATATACAATAGTTCCCTTAATAAAACAAAGTGATTTAAAAGTATGTGGTAGGTCTGCTTGTTGAGGGAGATGTTAATAACATTAATTTGCTTTATGGAAGTTGTCCTAAGTGCACTGTTATGGCCTGAGTCGGGTCTCTCCCAAAATCATATGTTGAAGTCCTAAACTACAGTATTTCAGAATGTGATATATTTTGAGACTGGATCTTTAAAGAGTTAGTTATGTAAGATCTGGTGAGGAGCAAAAGATAAAAGATATGATCTTCATCTCCAAATTCTGGTCACACTCTATACTCTGTGCATGCTGACTATCTTACCTATTGTTTTGTTTTATGTGTTTGACAAATAAAAATTGTACACATTTATGGTATAAAACATGATATTTAAAAATATGTGCTATACTCTGCTAATTAATATGTCTATTACCTCATATACTTTTTTTGTGGTGAGAACAGTTAAAATCTATTCTTACCAATTTTCAGCAATATAATACATTGTTATTAACTGTAGTTACCATTTGCATTTATATTTTTGTGCTGGTGCTCATCCTGTTTGCTTTATCTTGAATATTCTCATCTTGCATACTCTTTATCTTGACTATTGCTTTATCTAGCAGAATCCTGCTAATAATTCAAGAGCTAACTAATGTATGATCTCCTTTCTAAAGTACTCTGAGACAAACCAGTCTCCTTTTGGAATGATTGAGCCCTGAGCCTCTGTGACACTTCAGTGACCTCCCTTCGTAGTGCTTATCACAGTGTTTTGCAGTTAGTTGTATTAATCTATTTCCCTTATTCAATTGTGAATGCCTAGAGGATCTATTTGTCTTTGCCTTTTTTCCATAGTTCATAGCATTAAATGTATTTCATATTTCAATGCTTCAATATTGGAGGTTTCCAATAAATACTTGTTGTGAAGTAAAAAGAGAGAACTTAGGAACCTATACACAAGCAGCTTAATATCACTTATTGGCAATGTCTGAAATGTATTATTCTGTAAAAATATAGCTTGTAAGTCATTAGAGAAGAAAGTGGGAGATTTCTGTTTCCATCATTGTGTCAGACTTCATATGAAGGACCCTGAGCTAAAATACAACATGATGCTGGAAAATTTAAAAGTTCATAATTTTAATCAAACCTGAATTCAATGAAAAGTGAGGGATGGGAATTCTGGTGCTGGTGAAGATGGAGTAAAACGCAGCTGTTCTCTCCCACTGAGTATAACTGAGACTTCTGGACAAAGTGCAATACTTAACTACTTGAAGACTCTGGAAAGTTTATAATAGCAGGAAAATTGGGGAAGGGAGTAAAAATTTGAAGAATGGCTTGTTTAGGGGTACCTGCCCCTCTTCCTCTTTTATCATCTGGCTTTAATCTGAG